CTATCAGTTTACATCTTGTCATAGTATATGTTTAAATTCATATAGTTTCAGGGCAATCTGCATTTGGGTAAGCTTACTTAAATCTAATTACACTAGTAATTAACTAATTCATTATTATTTTTTTTTACTACAGAGATTTCTATATGTCCTGTTCTCTCTAACGTTTTCATAAATTACTTGAATACAGGATTAAAATGTATACTAAATTAGTTTGCAGATAACACTTAATTGGTAAGAACTGTTGACTCCCTCGATAGCAGAGAGACCTTGCAGAAAGATCTTTACAAATTGGAGGACTGGGCAACCATCACTCACTTGATGTTTCAAGAGCTGGATCCTGCACATTTGACAGGTCAACCCTGGATATATGTGCACACTGAGACGAGGCTGAAGGGCAGCCCTGTGAAAAAGGATCTGGGGAGTCATGTTTGGCAACAAGTTTAATATGAGCCAGCAGTGTGCCATGTCAAACCAAGGGGGCCAACTGTACCTTGGGGTGCCCCAGGTCCAGCACTGCCACCAGCTGAGGGAGAGGGGTAGTCCTGCTCTGCTCTGTGTGACCTCACCTCCAGCACTGGCTGTGGGTTGGGTGCCACGGCATGAAAAGGACATGAACCTATTAGCAGGTGTCCAAAGGAAGGCTACACAGATGGTAAAGGTCTGGAGGAGAAGAATCACAGCATTACAAGAACATCATTCTATAGGACTACGCTTCCATGCATACAATCCCTTCTTTCATATGAAGAATGAGTTGGAAGATCTGTGCCAGTTTTTGCATTTTCTGTATGCTTAATAACATGGAAGAAAGATGCACAAACTGCCTTGGGATTTAGAATAACTGTGTAGTACTCAGACAAAATCAACTAATTCATGGAAATACTGTGATCTAGTGAGCAGTATTGAGGTTCTTGGAGAGCCTGTTGATGTACTTGAATCATGCTTATGCTGGAATAGCTGATAGCGAATAAGTCAGAAAGGCAAACAGTGATGAGGGGAAGTGTGAGATAAACTCGTCTGTTCCCTGAGGTGCATATGAAAAGTGATTTGGAAAGCTAGATGAGGAACATTTCAAAAGTCATCTTAATTTTCTTCAACACTTTGGCTGTAGGAAGAGAGTTTACGTACATCCTCAGGGTTCATTTTTGTAAGTATAGGCTGTTTTCTAAGGATTACAAGGATTTAAGTTCTTGGAATTTGTTTTGCTACACATCATTATGATTAAACAAAAACATTCAGTCTTGATTAAATTAGTTTTTTTGGAGCTGTTCAAGGTCGTCTAAGTATCTTGAAAACAAATTAGGTGATATTGTTACAGTCCAATCCATAGCCAGGGTAACTTTTTCAGGACTTGTGTTGTAAAGTTCCTTTTTTTCTCTGAATCCTGCCTTTTTAGACTCCCTATGAAGGCATCTGAAACATCACACCTCTGCCAGATCAGACTAATCAAGGTCTTTGATGCTAGCAAAATCAAAGCTTGTAATTACCAGTTTCTTGCTCAAGAATGAGGAAAAAAACTTAGTGTTTCTAGATGCTTAAACAAGTCTTCATGTATCTGAAGGATGAATATTTGTTTGTGTTAACAAACTGTTAAATCTGTTCAATTGTATGTTGGCAGTTCCTTAATATACCATTAAGAGATTCGATTTACTAGTCATCACTTGTATAAAGTGAAGAATTTGTTGCTTTTCTTAGGTCTGTTAATCCTTTATTTTGTTTGTAAGATACTCACATGTGAACAGACATTTCATGTCATCTTGTGCAGGTCTGTCTGTGTTTTTATCAGACTCTGAGCAGCTAGAGGATTTCACACCATTACAAATGTTTTTATTTCCTTCTTTCTCCCCTTTCAGAGGAAATGAGGAGGAGCCCAGTGAGAATCGGGCTCCAATGGATCCTTTGTCTGAATGGAAGTTATGAATGTATGTGCAAAACCAGCATCTTTTAACTGTCTCTCCCAGTGCCTGGGTCTGGGTTTTGTCAGAGTGGTTTTGTCAGAATGTCCCCTATGCCTGCTGGCAGCTTTCAGCCTTTCTGTTTGTTAAAGTTCTTTAACCTCAATGACAAAATAAAACACAGAAAAAACTCTCATCAGAAGTTGAGCTGTTCAAACATCCACTGGCATTGTATCCTGTTTCTGCCCTAAGTGGTCCTTTCCCCAGGGCTCCTTGCTCTTAGTTAACCTGTTATTCCCAAAACATTGTCAAAGAAAAGTGGCATTTACTTCCTCCACCTTTTTGGAGGCCTACTTCCTTTCAGCTCACTTTTCCTGAGTGGTCTGTGTGTAATCCTAGATCTGATATAATTAGTTGCTTGTGATTTCCAACACTGGTGTCACAATCTTAGCCCTTTCCCTGTCCGTAAACTACCTGAGGAAGCACCAGAAGTAGCATATGTGGGCCTACTATGCCTATTTAAAATTGCCAAATATGTTAGTTCAATGTTCATCGTTTTCTTCTTTTTTTGACAAAGTTCTCTATTACTCATAAAGTTTGCCATTTGAGATTATCTAATTTAGCCCAAACATGCATCCTATTGGTTCTTACATGGCTGAATAGGAATCAGAATTGTATAGTTCCATATTTATTTATTTTTATTACAGAATTTCATGTTTTCAGAATATATGTAATGTAGGCTCATTTAAAGTTCGTTCTTCATGCACTAGGCCAGACACTCAAAAGATGGAAATTGATACATTCTTCACTATTAATTTTTAGACTTGTTTTTTAAGAAGTTTGTTTGCATTAATTGCACAAGTTACTCATGTGAATAATCACTGCAAATCACAATGGAGAGAGAGCAAGAAGTCCTATTCTGTTGTTATCTTCCTGTCTGGAATGTTTAGCACAACTCTTTGAAGCAGAACTTTTGGTCTGCTTTCAGAAGAGGAGTGTCTGGTCAGGGAGGGTTACCCAGTGATGCTGCCTTCCCAAAACCAGCTGCTTTATGGGAACAGGGGCTCGGAAGAAATTGATTGGCTTTGGTGAAAATACTGAGAATGTCTGTATTATTTAAAGGTTGTTTTTTGCTCGTTTCCTTGTCGTCTTGGGGCCAGGGAGAGCAGAAGGAAAGTTGATGGGTTAGGCTTTTTAATGCCTTCCTCAGTGAGACCTTTTGGTTCATGTTACTCCTCTCAAACACCTGACTGCTATCACCTGATACTGCTTAAGGCTGTGTTATTGTGTGATGTGTTCTCAGCCTTGCTTAAGCAGATCTTTGCAAGCATCTGAGAGTCGTTGTGTGTTGTTGCTGTTAAGGTAAACCGACTCACTTGGCCAGTACATAAAGAATTGGTGTGAGAGAATGATCTTGCTTTCATTACTACTGGGATCAAATTGCCTTTCATTTTGTTCTGAAGTATGGTCTTTTCTGCAAGGATGTCTTTTGTATGCTTGGATGAAGTCACAACAGCTTTCTAATGACCGAAAAATCGAGGCCTGTCATGGAGAAGGCTAGACTGCCTTTTGAAGGCATCTTAGCATCTTGCTGCTGATTTGCAGTCCTATGGCTTGAAGTACTTTTGGTCAGTACCAGTACTGGAAAATTGGGATAAGGCAATAAAAATATTAAATAAACACTTGCAGAATAGGGCAGAAAAAAACAGTTTTAGTTGTTTATGTTTGTGTACTGACCCATCTTGGTGATGAGGTGAGCACATCCCACATCCTGTCAATGCTATGATGCTCTGCTCCAGGGCAGCCTAGTTGCTGTGTTTCTGTAGCACTTCTGGGCCAAGTGAATTACACAGCTGCTCAATGTCCTGTTTGCCTTCTTGTGACACACAACATATGAATTCTTTTTCCAGTACTGCTATTAGTATTAATAATGGCAACAAGCTGTGGAGGTCTAGAGATGATACCCCTTGGGCCAACAAGCTCCAGGTTCCTAATGATCTTATCTACAGTTCTACATTTTCATTGTAATTCAATATAAACTGAGCCATAGCAATCCAAGAAAATTACTTGCAGAATTGCTGCAAGTCTAGATTTTTTTCTTAAATTATTCATTCAGCCAGAGTCTTATCTTAAAACAGATAACAAATGGATACACTTGTTATTTTTCCAGAAATCTCAAACTTTTGAAAAAAATGACCTTAGATTGCCTTGTACAAAATTACAGTATTAATCTTGTTTTTATATCATTTAATTCTTGAAAATGTTGACAGCCTGTTAGATTGTCATGATTATAAAGACCTATACCACATTTTTAGAATGTACTGAGCTGTTTGTATGTAAGTTAAGAAACATTTTTCATTTGATGTTGTTTTTTTTTAATGTTTTGTCTGATCGTTTACATTGCTGTAAATGTGCAAATGCTAACTGGCACAGGGGTAATATGCCTTCTCTTTATATTAGAATTTCAGCATTTTAATGACTTGGAAATTTGTCTCTGAAATTATTTTAATAGAATTTACACTTTTATAACACGTCTGTACATCAACATCATCAACAAGTCTGTACAAATTATTTTATCTGAGAGAGAAATGTCAAGCAAAAACATGGGCACTCAGTAAGACGTGGTTTTCCTGAAAGTAGCTGAGGTTTACAGTGAAAAGTTTTCCTCAGTAAAGTTTACTCTCCATCGAAGTTTTTCCATTGTCTTTCAGAGAAGGTTAGGAGGCCCAAGGTAATAGAAATGGAAGGCTGACTGAATAGAAATACCTGTACAATAAAGGTGCAGCCAGGCACAGTATTCCTTTAGAGTGTTGCTTAAAAGCATAATGAAATAGTGGTACCTCTAAAAGAAGAATGTTCTTGCTGTGTTTCTCATGAAAAGAAGATGTGGACCAGGCAGAGGGTGCAGAAGGAGGGGAAGGAAAGTTGCTCTTCCACGAGGCAATCAAAGTGTGTCAGATGGATAGTCGTTCCTCAACTGTCAGATGAATAAAGGTCTCAGCCTTTTTCCTTTCCTCTTTGACTGTCGTGTGACATGTAGTCAGATAATACTGATTGTAATTACAGTTAAAGTCATTAACAAGACTTTTCTTTCTGCTTTTGTTTCAGTTATTTGCCATCTTCCCTGCATGAATGGAGGCCAGTGCAGTTCTAGAGATAAATGCCAGTGCCCTCCTAATTACACCGGCAAACTTTGTCAGATCCCCGTGCAGAATGGCAATACTCCAAAACTGTACCATCACCCACAACAAATGAATAAGGCTGTAGGATCACAAATTATTCACTCAACTCATACTTTACCACTGACAATGTCTGGACAGCAAGGTGTAAAAGGTAATTTATTTTATTGATATAATTGTTTTTTTCATTTGGAATTGATTTTATTTACTTATCAGGATTGAAAAAAAAATCTAACATTAAACTAACTATGCAATCTATGTTTATCTTTGTTATATCAATTGGCAGAGTCCTGGAAGTTAATTAAATAGTCAGTTTTATAAAGTAGGGAGTCCATGATATCATTCAATTAAACAGAACTGTCTTTCCAGATAGTATAACCAATGTCAAAGGAACAAAAGAAAAAAAGAAAAAAGGTTTTTCTACTACTACATAAATGCTGTAAAGAAGGTGGTGGAAATGGTTTCCAGTGACATGTTCAAGTATTAGTCCCTAAAGCTCTCCGGAGTGTTTCTCACTTGAAATGGTGTATGGTGGTGTGGGGAAGGACAGAAACACATTTAGGAGCACAGAAATTTATTTCTGTGGCTATTTAACTCCAGATCAGATTATTGTAGACAAAATGTTGAAACATAAAAGTACTCTTTAAAATTTTCAGATTTAGAGTGCCTGTCTTAAAAACACAAAATAGATCTCTCATTGCTTAGGAGTCTAACCTCTTAAATATTTACCTGTCCCTCAATTCCACATTAGAACCATCAACAGTTAAAAATGTTTGCTTCCCTTTTGCATTCCTAAATGAGGATGTTGTAGGGAGGAATGGCTAATTTTGTTCAAGAAAAGTGCAAAACATTTCATCCTGAAATGGCTAATAGAAATCAAAATTAATCAGCAGATCTGTGCAGCAGTTCAAAACCTGGAGAGGAGATCTGTGATAACGCTGCTTGGGAATCATTGAATGGTTTGGGTTGGAGGGGACCTTTAAGATCATGTAGTTCCAACCCCCTTCTACAGGCAGGGACACCTCCCTTTAAACCAGGCTGCTCACAACCCCATCCAACCTGGCCTTGAGAAAATCTCCAGGGTGGGGGCATCTACAACCTCTCACGGTTCCAGTGTCTCATCATTCTCACAGTAAAGAATTTCTTCCTAATATCTAGTCTAAATCTACTCTCTTCCACTTTAAAACCCGGCAGATATGCCAGGCAGAAAAGCTAGTGGAAGAGATCCCTTTCATACATAAAACAGTTATGATTTGGAATACAGATAATGATTTAGTATTAGTTATGTTCTTATCACAGGTAAAGTATTCTCACTTGAATCACCCTTCAAAAGCCATCTTCCCTAGTAGAATTAGAAAGGCTTCACTACTTCTCCTTCTGAATCTTCATGCATTTACCTGAAATAGATCTCACTTAGCTTAAATTTTGATTTAGGTTGTTTTCTGCTACAAGCAAGGTTTGAAAAGCCAGTAAGATCCTGAAGCCATATTTTCCTGACTTAATACTACCTTCTTATTGGTGTTGCTCTTGGGAATATTCTGAAGGTTTTCCTAAATGAAACAATGCAGAACAAAGTAGACATAAATTTGGGGATATTTCTTTTTTGTTCCTTTTTTTTGGTTTATTGGCTTTGTTTGTTTGTTTTCCCTAAGAATAGCTATGAGAGACCAGTTAATACTGAAAATATGCCTGGCAAAATCAAAATAATGTGAAAAGAAGAAATTCTACAAAATAATATTATTACAAAGCAGCTAAGATAAATGAAGTATGCTTTCCAAGAAATGAAGCTGTGAGAGTGAAATTTGTGAGATGTAAAAATATCCAGATGAGTTTAAAAGAGCAAGGAGGAAATTCAAAAGACTCACCAATCCAGTATGCATTTTAGAGGAAGTAATGTCATGACATTTGTCTATTGTCGAAGCAATCTGATGTTTAGTTATTGACTGGCCTCAATTTGGTCTATGCAGTACTTGCTGACCAGAGAGCTCTAACCAGACACAGTAAATGTTAACTTTGTTATTCAACTTACTAACAGTAAAACTTCTTACATACTTCTTTCCCTTATCCTCTCACAACTACTCAACTGAGTTGAATGTTTTAAGAACGTTTTTGTTTCAATGAAAAGAGGCTTGAGGCTCATAAACAGACCAGTGCACACTAAATGTTCAGTGGTTCTCAATCTATAACTAGAATTAAAACTACAACCATGTAATACATACATATATATATCTGAAAAACATTACCTCCCTCTTTACCTGCCAAATCCTGGATTCAAAGTTTAGTGATGGGAGTGGTGGTTTTAGATGATTGAGATGCTGGCAGCTATTGCAGGGGCAAACTCCAGACTTGGCAGGTATATAAAGGTGAAGAAATGAAATCCGAAGCGTTTTCTGTGTTCCAGAGAAAGATCATAGATCTGAAAAAGACAATAAAACTTACTATGTATCCAAAAATAACCTGGTAGAATTTGAATTTTGGAACTTTGAATGAGATTCTTTCTACGCATTATGACCACAAATCTTAATCTTGCACCAGTCAGTTTGACATCCATGTTTATGTAGCAGTCTTTACAGTCCTATAATGTCTTTCTTTTCTCCGTGAAGTTTTTGTTTTCTTGCTTTGTAAATCAGACTGTCTGCATTCATTCACCCTTCCTTCTAATCCCAAAGTTTGAGGGTTGTCTACATTTTTGTCTCGTTAAATCAATTCATCCAAATTCTGAAAGAGATGTCTTAGAGGTGCCTGGGATCTATTTTATGTATGTATTTTGCTACTAACTTTTCTGTGTTTTTCTTTCAATTATTTCAGTGAAGTTCCCTCCTAACATAGTGAATATCCATGTGAAACATCCCCCTGAAGCTTCAGTTCAGATCCATCAAGTTTCAAGAATTGACAGTGCATCAACAGGACAAAAATCGAAAGTACCTCAGCCAGGACATCCACAGGTCTCTTACCAAGGTCTTCCATATCAGAAGACCCAGAAAGGACATGCTACTTACACAAATCAACAACCCATTCCTCATGTGTTTCCTGTTTCAGTTAAAACTCAGCTTGGACGCTGCTTCCAGGAGACTATTGGAACACAGGTAAGAAATATCTGCTTAGGTTTTTGGGACAAATGCCTTTAAAACAACACTATGAAAGACTGAAATAATTCTGCCAGGCTTGATGGGTTCCTGGGTAGTCTGATCTGGGTAGTGACTGGCAACCTCATCCACAACAGGGCAGGGGAGAGGGATTGGAATTAGACAGTATTTAGGGTTTCTTCCAACACAAGCCATTTTGTAATTCTGTATGATTTTTCATCAACTACAGGGATAAGATGCATTTGACCATCCTTTCTCAAAAGAAAATTCTTCTGAGAATAAACTGTAAAATAGTTTAGAAAGTAACATTGTTCTGAAACCTGCTGTTCTTTCAAGAGATATGTTAAGTTTCTGTAGATTTGTATCCCCCATGTTCTGATTTCAAAGTATTTTAGCTGCCTCTTCTCCATTTATGAGCCATTTTTCCAAATAAAATAATGACTCAAGTCATAGCTCTATCTCTTCTGATCAAACGTTTAAAGTTATACCATCTTCCACAGCTTGGACCGTCCTTTGCTTTAATGAGCCCAATTGCATGTGCATCTCAGCGGTCAGAGTTTATCAAGGAGTTGTAGTCTTCCCTTAAATTCCTTTTCAACAACTACCTAGGTTTGTCAGTATTATAGGCTAATGTTTTGACTCCATTTAAATGTGACCATTGAATGGAACAGAGAAATCAGGAAAGCCAACCGAGAGTTTGCTAAATCATTAAAACTTCATTTTAAAGCAGTATGTTCACACATACTATTTCACTCATACTTTTCAAGTAACTGTTCAAAATCATATTTTCTTTCAGACTCTTGAGCAACACAGTATTGTCATATTTATATATTTCCGCATATATGTAGATATATGGATAGCTTGCAAGAATGTTAGTGAGACACCATTACCGACTGCTTATCACCTTGCCAAGGTTGAATTTTTAAGCTGAAATTTTTTTATTCTCATTGTCCACCTTCGGCATTTCTAAAAATCAGGGTTAACTTTGCATATGGAACATTAAATGCTAGTCTTCACTAACTGTTAAATGCTTGATTTGTTATCCACAGTGTTAGTTCATACTGATGAGATCTTTGAGCTTGTCTATTTCAATAACATAAAAGCCTTAACTTGGGAGTCTGATTCTGGCAAGTTGAAGTATGTGTTTAACTGGAAGCTTATGGATTTGACTGAAAGACACTATGCCTATGTAAAAAAGTAAATCAATCCCTATTTCATAAGAATGAGAATTCTAACAAACATGGCATTATCATGTAATATTTTAAAATACTGCAATTAATAATTGAGATAAAATTCCTTCCTCTGAATGTTAAGCTTTGTACCTTTTATTTTTTACCTATTATGCTGGGCAAATTTCACGTCTGTTCTTTCTGGCACGGGCACAAGGGGGATATTTCAAATATTTATCCATATCTAAAACGTGCTCTGTGCAGTACTTGTCTCTCACATTGCGATGGTTTTAAAGGGGGAGGAAAGGGGAAAACTACTCGCATCATCTTCAGGCCTGACTTAGAAACCTATTAAATGCTCAGTCTTGATTTTTTCCATTGGTTTTTGTTTTTTAATACTCCCCTGAAAAACTGTGCCTTTGCAGTGCTCTCAAGAATGGAGACTGCCTCTTAGTTTAGAATAATGTGTTCCCATTTTTTACAGACTTCATTCATATTTAGGTCTCTGTCTTGGACAAGAACGTAGTTAGATTTTTTTGTTATTTAATTTTATAGTTCCATTTATAAATGGAGCTGTAGGGTAGTGTTCTGTAGAACATGTGTTTAAGACCTTGCAGAAAATATAGATTCAAGTGACTTATTCTCCTTTCAGTTTTGAAATTGAAATGTTAAATGCTTTTCCTGTGGTCAGATAGTGAATATTATTTATCTGCGTGTTTTAAATATACCTTTAGCTGGAAAATATGCACAGAGTTATTTATTCTTACATAGGCACATTCTAAAATAACTTGCCTTTTTGTTTGTTTCTTTTTTTAAAAAAAAATATTGGCTTTCCTAAATACAAGTATTCTTTTTATTTGTACAAACAAGCTGCTAAATTTAGTTTTTCTTCATTAATAGCAACATGTTGCAAGATCTTTCGGGAGTTTAGACTAGATAATTCTGGTATCCTTACTTTTTCAACCATTATCAATGTTTAGACATTTTTTTGCAGGGCGGATTGTATAGTTGGCTTGGGAAATGTTTTATTAAATATCCTGAGATCAGAGGTGATTTTATTGTCTATAGAGCAGAATGGAGTGGAAGGATGTGTGTGTGGCCTCCTGCAGGCAAATCAACCAACTTTAAAATAAGGATTAGCTGAACTTAACATTTTTAGCCTGGACCATAAGTATCAGAATCTTTACTGCTTTTTGTGTATGTGTAGCCATTTTATCATTTTATTTTTTTTTTAATATTCCTTTCACTCTCCATCTTCTTTCTTGAATTTTGTTAAAATAACATTTTCTCTTTTTTTCTTTTCCTTTTTTTTTCTTTTTCTCTCTTTTTCTTTTTCTTTTTCTTTTTCTTTTTCTTTTTCTTTTTCTTTTTCTTTTTCTTTTTCTTTTTCTTTTTCTTTTTCTTTTTCTTTTTCTTTTTCTTTTTCTTTTTCTTTTTCTTTTTCTTTTTCTTTTTCTTTTTCTTTTTCTTTTTCTTTTTCTTTTTCTTTTTCATTTTTTTCCCCACAGCCTTCTGTGGAATATTCATTGTCTCTCATTGCATTCTTTCTCACCCCACCTTAGTTAAATTCTTTTAATGTGTCTTATTAAAAAGCAGTAGTCCTGAACAAACTGTAGGCTGGTTGCTGTACTCAAATCCCACAATAGCCAGGGTGTGTTTTCTGCAGTTGAATTCCAACAGAGTGCATACTGTTTAATTTAGCAACTGGAGCCATCCTGAATTGAAGCTTGGAGGACATTATGCCATGGACAGTTGAAGAACCTCATCATATTGTCAAGCATTAGTTCACTCCTTATTCAGAACAGAAATTCTTCTAGACCTCGTATTTGCTCACTTGTCTGTGGTATCACAAGTGACTATAGCCAAAAGCAGTGACCATGAGAAAAGGATACTAAAAGGTTTGTGAAAAGACAGCGGTCTATGTGCTTAGAAGGACAAAAGAGGAGGACAGTAATTGAGAGTGGCTAGATGAAGTTTCCTATTTTAGTTAGAATACATAAAGAAGATTTATGTTTTCATAAATACGTGTTTGTATATGTTCCTTAATTGTGACTGTTTTGTGGATTGACCTCAGCATTGGGAAATAAAATGAAGAGAGTAACTACAGAAGTAATGTTAATATTAGAATTTGGAAAAAAAAATGTCAGAAGTAAATAATCTTCTGAATGGCTTTCAACTAATGTTGATTCACCAATTCTGGCTGCCCCTCTTTTCTCCCATCAGTGCATTTAACAAATAGTTCCCCTCTGGTAGGTGTTACAGTGATTGCTTCAGGAGAACTTGCTACGTTACATGATAGCTTACTATGTTACACCACGTACATCAGTGGTGGTTCATCAACGCTTTCCTGATACCAACAAGATTTTTGCACAGCGTAGCGTAAGCAGGCAGTTAAGGTGCAGACCAGAAAGTGATTGTTGTTGTAAAACAGCAGGGGTCAAACTTGTTCCTGAACTCCTTGTTGTGTGTAAAATGATGTTGAGAAGTTATAGACCTGGAGTTAGAAAACAAATACGACAGGAGCAATAGGATAAAAACGCTACATCAGATGGAGAGCAGTTGAGTTGTGGTCAGCACTGTAAGCTTCTGTTTCTGAAACATGGAGTCATCCTCAAGCACTGATTTGTAAAATTGTATTTAAAAATCAAGTGAATAAGGGTGGTTCAATTTCTTTTTCTTTCTTAGTTCTTCCTCTTCAGCTGCTTTTGACTGTAATTCTAATACATATGCTTTTGTTATGACACAGGATATCTTTCCCAAAATACTTCTACGTTGTCAGCAGTCACCTAATAACAAGTTATGTTAATCTCAAATGCTATTAAATTTGCTTTATGAGTGCTTTGCTTTTAAATTGAGAAAAGAAAGCAGATACCTACTATCTACTGAAATTTATATAAAGAGAAGTTAGCTGATGTTTTCTAACCTTGAGTACACTTTGAGTCTGTTAAAATTTTTCTTGCATTTTTTAATGGTTCCTACATTTCAGTATTTTGGCTGGGGTTTTTTTTGTTTGTTTGTTTGTCTTCTCAGAATTGTTTTGGTCTCTCTTTTGCGTAACTATGAAGAGGAGGGTGTTTTTTGCAAAACAGCTAGGAATTGTAGAAGCTGATTCCAGATTTCTCTAAGGCGAGACTCTTTATGGCTGTTTTTCTTAAATATCTGTTTTACTTAAGGAGACTTTTGGTATAACTTCAAAACAAAATAATTATTTTTTTTTTAATTCTGAAGAAAGACTGATTTTAATATCTTTGCCTGGATGGAAGCAACATTCCAAAATGTCCAGACTAGAAAACCAGCTCTGCCTATATTTGTTCATTCCTCTTCCCTGTCTCTCAGTTGTACTGATGCAGCTGCAGAGAATGTATGGTCTACTCTCTGAAATGGTCACAGAAATCATTTCAGTTAATAATGCTCTCTTCTGACCCTCTTTTTGGGGATTGTATTAAATTCAGATCAACTGCATGCCACAGTTTTCAGGTGACATGTTCTACCCCTTGTTTGTCAGTGGTTTAATGAATGATGCTTTGTGGTCTCCTGCAAAATGCCGTGAAAAGTGTTGTAGAAAAGATCTGCACTTATTATGACCCCATTGAGTAGGGAAGCTGAATTAGAGTTGTTCTGGTATTGTGAGGCAAGGCTTAGTATATTATGATAAAACATTGAAATATCCTATTAAAGAAAACCAAAATGTATCATTTATAGCAGACAAGAGAAGCATCTTTTGATAGTTATACATATGCATTCAGATATGTTTCAAGGGCTGCTTTGTTCTGAACAGCAACAAATGTGTTTGATAAGCAGAAGTCAGTTGATCAGCATTTTTGTGGGATA